CAAACAGACTCACCATATTCTGCTTAAACACTACACTATTGTTGGAAATGGAGATTATTTCCAGTTTTCCACTATTATAAATAATGCCCCTGAATGGACCTTTTCTAGACCTCCATGTTTCTTTTTTTTTTTTTAAATATTTATTTATTTATTTTCCCCCAAAGCACCAGTAGATAGTTGTATGTCATAGCTGCACATCCTTCTAGTTGCTGTATGTGGGACGCGGCCTCAGCATGGCCGGAGAAGCAGCGCGTCGGTGCACGCCCGGGATCCGAACCCGGGCCGCCAGCAGCAGAGCGTAGGCACTTAACCACTAAGCCATGGGGCCGGCCCTAGACCTCCATGTTTCTGAAGTGACATTATTACTCTCCAGTAGGCTTGAAATCTCTTCTTCATTCTCAAGTACTTGCTTTTTGTTGCTGCTATCAGATGGGTTAATTTTTCATCACTGATGGTATACACGCGTGCTACTGATTTTATATTTATTTTGTATATACTCACTTTCTTGAGCTCATTTTTCTTTCTTTCTTTTTTCTTTTTTTGAGGAGGACTAGCCCTGAGCTAACATCCAACGCCAATCCTCCCCCTTTTTCTTGAGGAAGAGTGGCCCTGAGCTAACATCCGTGCCCATCTTCCTCTACTTTATATGGGACGCAGCCACAGCATGGCTTACCAAGCGGTGCGTCAGTGCGCGCCTAGGATCCGAACCTGCGAACCTCGGCCGCTGCAGCAGGGCGCGCCCGCTTAACCGCCTGCGCCACCATCCGGCCCTTGAGCTCATTAATTCTAGTAAGTTTTCAGTTGTTTCCGTAGGTTTTCTAGCTACATAATTACATAATCTACAATTAATGATAGTTTTACTTTATCTTCTATAAATTTTAGTTCATGTTTTATTGCTCTGGTCAAAGCTTTGCAAACATATACAAATAGTAGTGATAGAGACATTCTAGCCTAGTGTGTAGGTTGTTTTGAGTGATATTTGTTATTTTACTAAAGCATTGTTATTTCTACTTTTAGTTTTGGATTTTCTTTAATTTCTTTTAAATATTAAATAGGATAATTATAAAGGTTTAGTTTATTAATTTATTAATATTAAACTGTTCTTGAATTCTTGTGACAAATTCTGCTTTTTTCATTTACTAACTTTTATTTATATTCCTCACATCTACATTCACAAGAAAGGTTGGCCCATATCTTCACGTCCAATATGGTAGCCACTAGCCACAAGTGGCCACTGAGTGCCTGAAATGTGGCTGGTCTGAACTGATATGTGCTGTAAGTATAAAATACACATTGGATTTTCAAAACTTAGTTTGAAAATGAGAGGGGCCGGCCTGGTGGGGTAGCGGTTAAGTGCGTGTGCTCCGCTTTGGCGGCCCGGGGTTCGCAGGTTCGGATCCTGGGCGGGGACCGATGCACCGCTTGTCAAGCCATGCTGTGGCGGCGTCCCATATAAAGTAGAGGATGATGGGCACAGGTGTTAGCCCAGGGCCAATCTTCCTCAGCAAAAAGAGGAGAATTGGCAACAGGTGTTAGCTCAGGGCTGCTCTTCCTCACACACACAAAAAAAAGGACATAAAATATCTTAATATTTGATATCGATCATATGTTGCGATGTTAATATTTTCAGTATACTAGATCAAATAAAATATATTATTACAATTAATTCTACCTGTTTCTTTTTACTTTTTTAATGTGGCTACTAGAAAAATTTGAATTATATACACGGCTTACGTTGTATGTCTACCAGGCAGCGCTGGTCTACTGTTCCCTCTTTACAAAGTATCTCTGTTGAGTTTTCATATCAAGGTTGGATTTACCTCAAAGAATCAATTGAGGTGTGTAGGATCCTCTACCGTCTGGAACATTTGCTATAAAATAGGATTATACGGGCCTTGACAACTTGAAAAGATTCATCCAGATTCAACTCCCCCCAACTCTTGTTTTTGAGAATTTTCTAAGTCATAAGTCTGCTCTGATATTCTTTTATAAAGGATAAAGCCTTAAATGCCAGGCACCATCAGAAATAGATTACCTGTATTAAATACGAGATTAAATCAAAGACCTACTGATAGTATTTCAGATCTTAGTATAAAAGAGCTACAAATGTTTCTCACTTCCTGACTAGTTTTATTGAAAAGGTAACAAGCAGCTTTTTCTTTGTTTTGGAGGCTATGTGAAGATTCTCCTCTTTATACCAAGCTATGTATGACTAATACGCTTTTGTGTAAATGCATAGAAAATGTTTGTGCTGTTCTTCTGCTCATTAGAAAAATACACCCTGCCTTTTCAGTCTGAGACCAAAATCTAACTCATCAAATCCCAGATGAGATACTAGCCCTTGTTAATAACAAGCCTGTTTGGAGAAGAGCGAGAAAGGTGTGTATGGAGGATGCAGAGGGAAGACATAAGCTGCACAGCCCCTCTGACACCTGACATATGCTGACTGAAGGTTAGCGTGGGAGTAGGGGGCCAGCCCAGGGTCCACGCATGGGGACCTGCAAAGTCACACAGCAAGCACAGACATGAATATATTCCTATAGCTTGCATTCCCAAACCTATTACACCCAGCGTCTTTTTTTCTTTTATTATTTTTTTAATGTGATGTTGATAACCTCCTGAGCTACCTGGGTTCCACTCCTATCTCCATACCTACTGGCTGAGTGACTTCAGACATGTTACTTAACCACTCAGTATCTGAATTTCTTCATCTGTAAAAAGGGGAAAATAAAAAGATCTATTTCAGAGTTTGCAAATTAAATGAGATAAGGAATGCAAAGCTACCAGTAAAGTGCCTGGCATACAGTAAGCATACAATAAGTATATACTACGAAAATAACAGTGTATACGCCAATGTCATTAGCTTCTCTCATATGCTGACTGTAAGATCACTAATTAGCAAAGTTTCATCCACTAATAAGTGGCTTGTCATGCACGGGACCAGCCATTATCAATTAAGGAACAGCAAAGTGTGCATTCATTAACATGTAAACAAAGACTGGGTCATTGTGACATTGCTGAAACACTCAGATAATCACCATCAAAGGTGAAGAAATCCAGGCTGTACCCAATACTTCAGACAAAACAACCATCATAGACAGAGTCCTTGGGACAATTTCCCAAGAGATGCAAAAGAAATTCATTCCCTTCCCTGGTGCTTTCCATTCATTACAGGTTACGTAGCTGCCTGTGCCTCTCCACTCCCAGGCTCAACCCCTGTCTCAGCTCAGCCCAATGCTGGATGATCAAGGTCGTCTGTGGCAGAGTCAAGGTCAGGAGGAGACCCAAACCTGCTCCCTGGTCCTCCCAGCCTCACCTGTAGAGCTAGAGGCTTTGCCTGCTCCTAAAGATACCCATCTGTCTCTCACTTGGGAATTGCTACCCATCCACCTCTATAACCCAGGTGCTTCATGAAAGAAAAATGAAAACCCAAATACCAATTATGCTCACCCATGAGAACTCTGCCTTTCTTGAACGGAATTAGGAATGGGAGAGAATGTAGGATTACAGATAGAAGTAAAAACCATTAGAAAATCTCAAAATGGTGGTACGCTTACTTTAAGGACAAAGGATAGGGAAGAAGTTGAAAGAGCTTCTGCACTGGGCAGAAGAGAGAAATGCTAGCCACCAGGAACAGCGGAGGGTCGTAGAAAGGAGAGCAGGCGAGCCAGCTCGTGGGAACGAAAGCAGAAGAAAGAGACAACGTGGGATATACCCAAGCAGGACCAAGCTCTCCTTGCCTCGACTTTCTCCTCTTCCATAGATCATTGTGCCCGGCTGGGCCCTTCACCCACTCCTTTCCTTGTCAAGCTCTTTCCAGGATATGAAGGTGGTGGATTCTGCAACACCACTGACCAGGGAGTGTGTGTGTGGGGAGTGGGGATGGGCAAGGAGAGAATCCTAATCCCACTGGCCAGGGCCACATCAGGAGGGAATGCTTTCCTGGCAAATCTGAACTGTCTTGGAAATCTGAGTTCAGTTCTCCAGAGAACGCTGGTATACGTGGTGGCAAGGGACCATGAGACATAAGACGAGCTAAGACACAGGCTTTTGGAGGCTGAGCTGGAAAACCACCCAGAGTGCATTTAACATTTTTTAAATGGGAAATGTACTCTGGGAGTCTAAAAAAGCTCAAATAGACTTCTGGAATGGTAAGCATATTAAAAATGATACACATATACTTATGTACTAAGTAATATGTAAATACCATTATAAATAGAGTCAAGGAACTTGAGGTAGATTGGAGAAACACTACTCCCTTACCCAAGCAAATTTAATTAACCATATACAGTGTATATAAATGATGAGTCCCAAATGACAAGTCCTGGGCACTCCAAGGAGGAAGAAATATCCATAGGACATAGCACTTAGGGGCAGCTTTATTAATGAAATGAGACTTCAGCTCAAAATACTAAAAAAATTTCTCCAAAAAAGTAGGAAAAATTTACGTTTTTAGACAGGGCAGAAAATTCTCTCCTCCATTTCTTTATTTCTGTAAAATATAAGAATGTTCTTATATTTACAATTTAGTTTTTGTCTTATTGTTATTGCATTAAAATCAATAAGTAATCCAAAACCACCATTCAGTTTTCAAGACCTGATATTTGTACAATATATAAGATTTTCTTTCCTTTGGAAAAAACATATCAGGAAATTTTTTCTGTCATATTATTTTTCTCTAGGTTTTCATTATTCTTTGGTAAAAAAAACAAGTTTTCTTTCTTTCTAATATTTTCATTCCAAATAGCTGGTTCATCAGTCTCACTATAAACCATAAATATTATTCAAAACAGTTACTTGATCTTCTCTGGGACTAAAAATGCTCTCATCTTTTACCCACGAATCATTTAACAAAAAGTGGTAGTGCCAACAGATCCATTCACCAGTCCAGGGCAGGAAACACAGGAAGGTACCAGGAAGGAAAAGCCACAGTTCCTGACGTCTAGGGTTTGGTGCTGGCTACGAGGGCTGCCTTGTCTTTAATTATAAGCACCAATTACCTTTGTCTGCTCGCTGTCTGGGTCTTCAAGCCATGCATAAGGGTCACAGATTTTATGCCCATGATAATCCTGTACCTGCAAAAGACAAAATGTGGTGTTAGATAATTAGTGTCTAACCCCAATTAAATAAGTACTTTCTGATTGTGATGGAGAAATGGGAAAGGTACAAAAATACCCCAATTGGCTCACTGGCAACGTGTCTGCCCAAATTACCACATGAACCAAAGTTGGCAGGTTCTCAAAGGTGTCTAGCCACCCTTCATGAAAAGAATGTTTTAGCTGGAGAAGGAGGAAAGATGAAAGGTCAGAATAGGAAACAGCTCTGTCTGTACAACACAAAACAAAGGGCTGCCGCTGTGCTAAAGAAACTTGAAAATGTGTTGTCAGTGGCAAAGCACAGAGCTACACAATGCAGAGGGATGCGACAAGGGCACTTTTCTGAGGGAACCACCATACACATGCTCATTTTCCTGTTCTTGGTAAGCTTATTAATGGTTAGAAAATCTCCCTATAATATATAATACGATCAGTTTTGCCTTTAAATCTAAACTGCCAAAAAGCAAGTTACTAACGTGTAGTATGATTCTACCTACCATCGGCTGAAAAGGCTGACGAACGCAATTAAAGAACATTTCTGAAACTGAAGCCTTTCTTCCTTTTCGTGTATTACAAAATGCTTTCTTTCATGGTTTATAAAAGGAAGCACAAAGGCGTCACGCATTCAGACTATCCTGATATTTGAGGAAATAATATTGCTAGTATAAAGCAGGGCCTGGCTGGGCTGATCATCAGAACCACTGGTACCTTCTGAAATGCCCAAATTCCTGGCCTCAGAGACTGACCAAGCCTGGAAAAGCAATTAGGAGTCATGGCTCCCCAGGTGAGTATGTCTAAAGAAATTTTCCAAAGGTAAAAAGATTGTTACAAAATCCCTCCATTTCATATTATCATGATTAATCTAATTAATTGAAACCACAATGACAATGTCTTTCCAGCCAAGGCTCTCTGAACAACTCAAACATTCTGGTTAAGGCCTCTGGTATGAGGTCGTCAGGAAGACCACCTGTATTTCAGGTGAATTTTTAATCTGTCTCCTTCTTGCTTTGTTCTATAACACAAGAAGGCAAGGGCTAGTCCCTAAGGAAAGCAAACACTCTCCTGGAAAAGGAAAACTTGAATGTTGTTTCTACTGCTGGCCAATGGAGAAGAAACTCCCCGTGCCTAAAACCCCAGGCTGTCCACACAGGGTCTGCATCTGTCCTCATCTGGTGCCAGGTGACAGAACACCTGGGGGAATGCCCACCTGGAAGAATGGGCAGTTAAGGTGGAACACTCAGGAACTGTTCTCATTAAACAACTGACTGACAAGCGCAAGGGATACATACCAGACTAAAACCTCTCCTGAGGAGTCTCCACAAAATTACCAATTTTCAATCCTTACCTGACGCCCCTCTAAATTTTAGCTGATTGTCACCACTGAATGAAAGCTCTTTATATTTTCTTCTCATCCCCAAGTCTTTTACATTTTACACACCTTGAAGTGGTTATAAATTATGCTTAAAATAACAACCGTCTTTTCTCTGACAATAAGAAATCAGAAAAATTTAAAGTTGTAAAGCATCTTCCAATCCAACATTTTTAGGAGCAACGGCAGACACAAGATGGCAAGCTTCCTAGGGCCATACTGGGTTCAGAACCAGAGGTGGGACTAAAAACAATCTTCCAACAGCTTTTCCCCAAATATTCCTCGGAGGGGACAGGCCAGGCACTTTTAAAATGTTCCTCAATTACGATGTTACTAAAACTCAGACATATCCACAAACGTACCTTTTCATAAGGAAGTGGAAAAGATTAACCGGAAATCATGTTAGTTTTATGACTAAGTGAAGGTGTTGCCAAGTGCTAGACCCAAGGCAATAAACATTTGCTGAATATCCACATTGCTGTGCCCGATGTTCTAAAGCGACCTTCTAAGAGGGCTGGTGATACTCCTATTTTACAGATTACAGAATGCAATTCAGGGAGGTTGGTAAGGGTAAAGGTCACGGATTTACTGTTTGCTCAGAGATCACTGTGAGCTAAACACTGTGCTCTTGATTTCAGCCACGTCACCTCGTCTGGTCCTCACTGTGAGGTTATTACTAACTCATTTTCCTGATGAGGGAGCTGAAGCTGGAGAGAGCTAAAGCAATCAACAAAGGCCAGATGGTTAATAAGCGGTAGGACCGTGACCCACCTTGAGCCAACCCCAAAGTCTGTGGCTTTAACCTCTTGCTAATGAACCCGGCCAGGTGTAAACTGGCAGGTGCACAGCTGGACCCTGACTCAGAAGCCAGTGCACCCTACACCATGCTGCCACCTGAATGGGGTTTACCTCTGAGGAAACAGGGCCATCTTCCCAGAACCAGCATTACCACCTAAAGCAGACTGAGGTCACTTATTGAGCAGACATTTTTAACCAGGACAAGAAACTGATTCTCTTCAGGACAACCCCACAGACAATCCCAGGAGCCAAGCACCCCTCTGCCCCCCTCTTTTACTTTTACAAGACCATCCCCTACAAATGGGGGGGTCTCATAGCCACATCCCCTGAACTCAGGCTGTGAAGTATCTGATTCTCCCCACTGATCTAAGCTTGCAAACCATTCCTCATCTCCCCAAAAACCTTTACAAATAGAGCCCTGATAAGGCACTGTCACTATTCAATATTTTACCTGTACTGTTCAACAGCTCGCCTGCTGCCTTTAAGATACAGACTCGTACCACAGCAGCAGGCAGAGCCCATCAAACCTGGCCACACTTCCCTTTTTTTGTCTTCCAGCCCCTATCCAAGCTTATCCACCCACGAATGCTCTGCCACCCTACAAACAAATGCAATTCCACGACCGTCCAGCCCTACATAACTATGGCTTTATTTTAGTCACATGGCCAGGAATGTCCTTTCTACCTTATCCAGCTGGCCAACTTCCAGGCTAAATTCACGTATTCTCTCCTGCTCCTGATGGAAATTAATCTCATCCTCCTCCCTGTTCTCCTCTCCCCCTACACACTCTTCTACCCCTGTAGCAGGCCTGCAACCCCACAGCAACACTCTCGGGGGATGGGCAATGGCATTACACTGGAAGTATCATAGTTTCCAAATTTCTGCTCACTAGGCCAGAAGTCCACCCAAAACGGTTGCAGGCTCCAGCCCCATGGCTCAGTAGGAGACTGCCCAGTATGTGGCTGAAAGATGCTCAAGTGAGAGACACAGAGAGCTACAGCAATCTCGAGCATCTGCTAGAGAGAAACAAACTTTTCCTAGTATTCAAGGCTACAATTTTATTTTATTTATTTTTTGTGCTGACGATCAGCCCTGAGCTAACATCCATGCCAATCCTCCTCTTTTTGCTGAGGAAGACTGGCCCTGAGCTAACATCTGGGCCGATCTTCCTCCACTTTATGCGGGACGCCGCCACAGCATGGCCTGACAAGCGGTGTGTCGGTGCGCCCCTGGATTCGAACCCTGCGCGCCCGGGATCTGAACCCAGGCCGCCAGCAGCAGAGCGCACGCACTTCACCAGTACGCCTCGGGGCCGGCCCCTCAAGGCTACAATTTGAGCCCAGGGCTTAGTAATCAGGACTCTGTTACAGGAAAAAGATAACCCATGTAGCCTATCAGGTCTGGGCTAAGTGCCCTGTGGGATCCACAGAGCGGGGTCCAGGCTGGACCAGAGCTACATTCCCTCCGCCCTGAGGCTTAGGGTTATGATGAGTTCTGCTGAGAAGGAACTGGAGAGTATTAAAATCCACTGTATAGTACTCTTTTGAGTTAATTGTTCACAATCTTTTTGATGTCTTCATAAAATCCTCACTTAACCCTTTCAAGAACTATTAAACACAGATAAATGAACTGCAGGATTTTGATAACCTGAATAGGGAAAAACTTAGTAAGAAGCAACTCTTCCTAAAAATAAAATAAAACAAATCTAAAACGGAACTCATCAAACCACATAATGGGTAGTTCCTTATATTTTTATCTATCCTGAAAACTCAAAGATCCTCAAGAACTGAACTGAGATGTCCACATGTCTTCCCATGACTAAAGTATGGCACACTGCAGGAATGGACTGTCATGTGAATGAAAGAAAGAATGAATGAATGATATTCTCACTGCAGAAGCAAGCAAGCTCTATGGTTAGCCAAGCCAGCCCTAATACTTCATATATGAGAAAGAAGGCTATAAGAGATAAGTGATCTGCCAAGGGGCATCCAGCTGGTGAGTGACAAGACCAGAACTAGCACTTGGGTCTTATTTGGTCTGTCCTCCTTTCCATCCCAGCAGGATCACTTTACTCCCATACACAACGGAAACAACCCCTTGAACCACAGCAATAGAGCTTCTTGGGCTGTTAGAGTAAATTTAATAAGCAAGCAACCGAACAGACTGAGAAAACATGGTTACCAGATGGCCACTGGTCAAAGAAACCAGGAATGCACCAGCGCCACTTGGAAGTCTTAATTCAAAACAATATGATCTTTACTCTAAAGCCTCAGTACCCTTTACCTCAAAGTGAGATGCGCTTTAAGTACAGACTTTCTGGCATAAATTGGGTCAGAGTAAGCAGGAAAAAATTAGAAGTGTATTAAACAAAAATATTTTTATTCTGATTCTATTTTAAGTAATCTGAGGAATTTGGCTATTCCTAAGAAAATCATGCCCGCAACATTTGGACTCACTCCAGTTCTCAAGATGCCAAATTAATTTTTAAACAAAAAAGGTGTTTCCCCAGAATTGCATCCACTGGATCTCGACAGCTACCCTGAGTTCATCCACAGCTTACGTAAATGGTGGCTAACCTCTCCACCAGGCAAAACTGGAACTCATTCTGAAAAAGGCCATCCCCTCTCCTTTCTAAGGCCTCCTCTCAGCCCCTATTGACTCCTTTTCTTTTTAGGAAAACTTGGATCAGCACTGGCTGGTCTCCCCATCTGGCACGAGGTCACCGCTCCACCTTCCCGGTTACTCTGGCTGGTCTCCTCATCCCCAGCGCCCAACGCCCAGCATTCGGCCTGGGGCAGGAAAGGCGCTCAATACGCGTTCTGAAATCGAATGAATGAACTTCAACGCTAAGGATTTTAACATTGGAAGTTGAAAAAGTTTGCTTTTGCTTTCCAATGTTACATCATCTACACACACACACACTCTCTCCTACCACCATATTTAAGCAAGAGCCTCCTCCAGTCAAAACGCAGTGACACGTTCTGACTCCCCTCTGCTCTAAGGCGCCCATTCGTACCTGGGGGTCTGCCCTTGACCCCACTGATTTTAGGAAGCGGCCAAGCGGCGGCTGACCACAGGCTCGGCCGCCAGCAGGCGGACAGTGACGGCCACCAGGGCCCCCACGGCTCGAGAGGAGCCCGGCGCCCCCGGCCCCTTTCTCGCAAACAAAGGCCGAGGGGGAGGGGAGGGCCGCAGGGGCCGAGGGGCTGCAGGCGGCGGGGAGCCGGGTGGGCGCGGGCAGGGTACTCACCGCGGTCTCGTCGCGGTACACGTCGGGGTACTGGAAGGACAGCATGGCCGGGAGCGGGCAGGAACAGCGAGGGGGCGCGGGCTCCGGGGCGGGCGCGAGCGGGCCGGGCTGGCCGCGAGGCGAGG